CTGCTGTGTTCATCCAGCTCTACACCTTGTTATCTCAGATTCTCCAGCATCTGCAGTTCCTACTATCTCTGAAACAAGTTTCATGTATTTTTATTTTTAAAAAAACAAAAACTTTTATAAGTTTCCATACCATGGGGCCTGTATTAATGACATAAGTCATAGATAAGAAGTGAAAAAAAGTAAAAAAATAAGGCAAAGTTTGTCCCAAATCAATTTCAGTTCAGGGAAAGCTGATTAAAACAACATATGCTGGAATACCCGAAAGCTGCCAAAGTCATCCTCCACACTGGAACGAGACAGCACCAAGGGGACAAGGCGAAATCCCTGCCAGGCTGAGACTGGCACAGCAGGACAAGACCACCTGCCAGGCTGCCGTAATACCCAGAATGGGGCCTCCATGCTGGAATGAGACCACTACACCAGGCCCCTGGGATGCCCGGAAGCTACTGCCGAAGGAGTTCTCAATGCCGGTACGAGACCTCCATGCTGGGAGGAGTGCAAGTGCGAAGTTGGACTGGAAAAGGATAGATCAGAGTAGTTTCAAGATGGCTTGAAGTTAAATACAGTACCTGTCCGAAAAGACTTTGGGGTTTAGGTCCATAGAGCTCTAAATATCATGAACAGCTGAAGCAAATAATTAAGAAAGCTAATGGAATGCTGGCCTTTATCTACAGGACTGGAATACAATGATGCAGAAGTTACGCTGCAGTTATGCAAAACTGATTAGACCCTACTTGGAGTACTGAGAGCAGATCAGGGCACAACACCTCAGGAAGGAAGCACAGGCCTTGAAGGGAGTACAATGTAGATTTTCAAAGAATGATGCCTGGACTTCAGGAGTTACGAGGAGAGATTACACAAATTAGGTCTGCTTACTCCAGAATCTGGAAGGTTAAGGGATGACCTGATCAAGGTTTTCAAAATATTGAAAGGAAAAGACAGGGTAGGTAAAGATGAACCAATTCCACCAGTTGTGGATTCTAGAACTAGGGAACACAGTCTGAGAATTAAGGCCAGACCATTCAGGTGAGATGTTAAGAAGAAATTCTACACACAAGGAGTGGGGGATGTTTGGAATTTTCTTCCACAAATGACAATGGATGCAGGATCAGTTATTCATTTTAAATCGGAGATAGATAACACCTTTACTTAACAGAAATTTAAAGGATGTGGGCCAAAGGCAAGAATGTGGAGTTATGTCACTGATCAGCCATGATTTCATTCAATGGTGGAACAGGCTACAATGACTACAAAGTACTTCACTGGGTTGCCACGTGCTTTGGGAAACTGGGTGACTGTAAAAGGTACTTTATAAATGCAAGACCTTCTTATTTCCCCCTTTCAGATTCTACGAGTTAGCAATTCTGAGTATTTGGCAAGCATATCACTAAATTCCAAAAGATAAATGGCAATCAAGAAAGCATCCAAATGCTTTCAGCTCCAGAAAATGAAAAAGGATTAGCTTAATAAAATATATTGAATGCAAAGCATCCTGAGATGCTTCACAAATTCTATCCTTCTCTATACGAAAAATGTGGATTTTTGTAACATTCATACAATCATCCCAAATTATTTTGGGAAATAAAAGTTCTCTTTATGTGCAACATGTATTCTGCTATTGCAGATGTCCAAACCAAGTAAAAAGTCGTGAAACGTCATAAACTTGCAATCACACTAATAGCAAGCGTCTGCTTTTTTTTTTAAATGAAACATTGTTCAGCATGGACGAGGAAATCAAAAATAACATGGAACTATTATATAGACTAATTTTGGCATTAATCATCATACTATATCAGTTTCATCTAAGTGTGATGTAATTCATCCAACATTTAAAAGAGACACAATTCTCTCTTGTGACTGCATTGAAATAAAGTGCAAAAACATCATTCAAAAGCAGTTTGCCATCCTTTAGGCTTCACATTGGGTGTAGTACAACTTCAACCAATACAATACCATGTTTTAAAAGCATATGATTTACCTTTTATCTAAAGTCAGCAATATAATTCAGAAGTGCTGAATATACCTGTACAATAATATCCAAATGTTTTGCTAAAGGTCTTCCATATTCAGACATGAATTCCTTCAAGCTGCTCAAACTGGTTTATTTTTCCTTTTCAATAACTTACATGTCAATAACTTTAGTGAACCATGAATGTGTCATTAAGACATGATAATTACCTTCTATATCCCCTGTAACAATTAAGCCAAGCTCTGCAACTAGATCTGAAACAGAAGAAAAGCAAAGCAGAGTAGCTTTGAATGGAAGGGAAAAAAACCATCATAAAATTACTCTTTCTACTGAAAAAGCACTCAATAGTGAACCCGAGTTGTACCTGACTTCTGCTTATTTTCTTCAAATGTTAATGATGGCTTGAAAGAAACAGAGCTAAGAGTTAAAATATGCATATAATTGCCAAATGTTTTAATTTGCAAACCATAGAAGTCTGTTAATACAAAAATAGTAAATAAAAATAGAAATAATGTATTACCTGTACCACAGTATTCAATTCCACTATTTCTATTAGGAATAATAATGAAATAGATAAAAGTAGTAATGTAGCGGACAAAAAAAATCTCAATTGTTTAGTTTATCAGTTTGCACAAGTATTGTACTTAAAGCACAAAATATCTAATTTGTCAGGCAAACTTACATTAACTATATCAAAGATGCAACTAAATGCTAAATGCGACATAAAATTCATGGCAAAGTAGGCTATGCAACCCAACTAATCTCTGCCTATGTTTATGCATAAATGCACCACCTATTTCATTTAACCAATTTAGCACATCAGTATAAATTTAAATAAAATCGAATGCGATATATTAGCAAAAGCACAACCTACAAAGCACTAGTAATATGCACGATTCTTCTGACTTATTTTCCATTATGCACCACAGCTAAATAAAAATAAGAACACAAATTTGTTTTTTTTGAATAATTACTGTCTTGATTCAATTTACAGAATGATTTCCATAACCATGCTACGTTACTTGAATCTTGAAAATTAGTTACTACGTTATTTCACAACCATCCTTAAGCAAGAATAAAAAGCAAGTTTAATGAAGGTAGAAGTATTCAATATTATAAGTCTACAGTATATAAAAAACTGAGAAGGTTTAAATTGGGAATATTCAGTAATGATTACAGAGTGTTTGCGATCATTTGCAACGCCTCCGAAACTGAAGTAGGCTGTGCCTGCACGCAGCATGACCTGGGCAAAATTCAGGCTTATGTGGAAGGAACTCGTAACACAAGTGCTAGGCAATGACCATCTCCAACAAAGTAGAATATAATCATTCTCCATCAAGACTCAATGGCCACTACCATTTTCCCATAGAAGCGTAATGGCATTCCCCATCCTAACTGGGCCTCAGAAGTATTAACCCAACATATAAAACGTGGAATTAATACGAACACTACATTTTATTTGGAAAACACCTAGAACTTGTGAAAAGCCACATAGCTGACTTTACAAAAAAAAAGTCTGACAGACTAAGGTCTGCTTGCAAGCAGTTCTAACAGAATCAGTGAGCCAGACTCAAAGTTGTTGCAGAACAACAATCAGCCAAAATACTAACTTGTTCCAGTCAAAACTCACCTTAAACCAAACCCCTAGGTACATAACCAGAAGAAACCTGTAGAAAGCTACAAGAACAAGCAACAATCTTATTGAAACATATAAGATCCTGAGGCAGCTTGACACGTGGATGCTGAAAGGATGCTTCCTGTTGTGGGAAAAATGAGACCCAGAAGATACAGCTTATCAATAACCCATTTAAAACTAAGATAAGGGTATTTTCCCCCTTCTTAGGTGACCTTACAATTCTTTCCACAGGGAATAGTGGAGGAAGAATCATTGAATATTTTTAAAGCTGAGTTAGATTGACTTCCTTCTTAAATACAGAATCTAAGGTATTGAGGCAAGTAGGAAAAGAGAGTTCATGCACATTCAGATCAATCATGATCTTAATAAATGGTGGTGCATGTTCAAAGAGATCAATAGGTACTCCTAATTCACATGTTTCTATTCTTTCAATTTGCTGTGACCCATGCACTTTACAGAACGCTCATTTCATCTTTAAAAGAATTGCATCTATTCAAGAAATCCAAGGCCTGCCATGTGGAGATTAGAAACTGAATTAACTGTAATCTACAAAACTGCCACTCTCTTTATTGGTATCCAATGTATGTGTGTGGGGTGAGATAGTGTACATAACATTTAGTTTTAAATTTTAAAATGCTTGATGCTGAAATCGATTAATTGGTACACATATTCCAATGCTAAGAAAACATACCACTTACAGGCAGTAAGGAAGCACATACATTCTCTCCATGACACCCACAACATCTGTCATTTATAAAGTCAAGAGCAGCAGGTGCATGGGAACACCACTTGTAAGCTCCTCTCCAAATCACAGCATCCTGATTTTGCACCATTGCCATTCCTTCAGTGTCATTGGGTTGAAGAGACCCAAATTACACTTTGGGTCTATCTACACCAAAGAGATTGCAGAGATTCTTGAAGGCGATTTATTTCCACCTTCTCAAGGGAAGTTAGGGATCAACAACAAATGCCAGCTTTTTCAACATACTTATAACCATATGAAGGGTCAGTAAAACTAAAATAGATTGAAATCATCAAAACATGGGCCAGCAAGATTAGATTCGGCTCAGACCCTTCCAAACTATATCAAAAGATTTACAGTATGTGTTGAAGGAAGTCCAACTTTATCATTTTAAAGTTTATTTCTTTTGATCACAATAAGATCACAGGTAAAATTTTGATGCCATGGATATAATCATGAGGGCCACCATCAAAAGCAAAATTCAGTGGATGGTAGGAATCAGAATCTCTTGTGGCGCATTGGTAGTGTCCCTACCCCTGAACCAGGAGACTGGGGTTCAAGTCCCACCTGCTCCCGAGGTGTGTAATAACATCACCAAACAGGCTGATTAGGAAAACAGGTCAAAAACAGAAAATGCTAGAAATACTCAGGTTAAGACAGAGAAGCAGAGGTAATGTTTCAAGTTGTTGACCTTTTATTATAACCAGTAATAGAGATGTAACAAAATTTTAGGCAGGCATAGGGAAAGGGAAAGGGAACAAAAATAAACTCAGATCACGTGATTAAACAGCAAAATAAATAACTATTCAAAGAGAAGTGGATGTACTCCAGAAAACACGCCCATGCAGGAAGGTTATTCCATCTATTCTCTGGTACCTCACTTCAGGTCCAATTCAACTGTGGAGGGATTTTTTGTTTCATCAGTACCCTTGCGTACTTCCAAAAAGAATCATTAGATAACTGTTACCATGGGGAACACTGATTGATTTTCAATTTCATCACTTTTAGGATTACTGCAATTGATATCACTTAACTCAGCATAATTTAGGGAAATCTTACAAAATTAGTTTTAGAACAGTGCTCTGCATAAATGTTAACATAACTTCAACAGCAAGATAGCAGAAAGCCAGTACATCAGTCATCTGAATCATTGAATCATAGAATCATAGAGCAAAAGGTCCTTTGGCCCTTTGAGAGTGCACTGCTAAAAATATATTAAATCTACAATAGTTCCATTTGCTGATAGCCTTGAGTGTTATGACACTTCAAGTGCACATCCAAGTAAGAGGTTGAGAGGTTAACTGATTCAACTACCCTCTCTGGCAGTGTATTCCGGATGCCCACCAACTCTGGTTGGAAAAATATCCCTCAAATCCCTTCTACACCACCTCCCATCATTTAATTCACCATCCCCTCGATGACCCTTCAACTAATGAGAATACCTTACTTCTATCCAATCTGTCCATTTCCCTCAATCGTATCGTTGTCATCATCAATCACTCACTAAAGAGAATGATTGTCCACCTCAGAAATTTCTCGTCGCTGGTCATGGGATCTGTAGGTACTTGTGGGACTGTCAAGCTCAATCCTAGAGCTGGATCTCCAACCACACATTTAGCAGGTGTTTCTAGGAGATGGAACTGGTCCTTGGCCTCGATAGTGTTGCCTTCCTTTTCCATTCTTCCTCTTATCATTGGATCTTCTCAAGAAGTTGGGTGCCTTCATACAGAAGTTGCCTCCATGTTGGTTTCTTCTGAATGAGGATCTGTCATGGGTCAACAGCTGTGTTGCATTTCTTGACGGAAGACTACAAGGGGCCTTTGAAATGCTTCCTTTGTCCTCCTTTTGCTGGGAGATGATGATTTTCTTTGGTAGTTGGAACACAGGCATCCCAAAAAGGTGGGCAGCCCAGCAGAATTGGTTTCAGGTGAGCATGGCCTTGATGCTGCTGCTGTTAGCTACTTCAAAGACACCAATGTTAGCATGCTTGTGCTCCCAGGTGATGCAGAGAATCCATCTCAAAGAATATCAGTGGTACTTCTTAAGAGTCCTGAGGTGGCATCTGCACGTAACCAAAGTTCAGAGCCATATAGAAGAGTGGAAGGATGACTGCCTCACATATTGGTATCAGCACAGATATCATGGTTAAAGATTCTCATTCTTAAGCTTCTGCAAGTGGCACCCGCAGATTCAATGGGATGTTGAAATGCCTCACCGGTGTCAGCCTTAGAAGCTGGAGAGGCAACAGCCTAGTGGTATTGTTGATGGACTGTTAATCCAGAGACCTAGGTAATGTACTGGAGACCTGGGGTCAAATCCCGCCACGGCAAAGGTGAAATTTGAATTCAATAGAAATCTGGAATTAAGTGTCCAATGCCCACGAATTCATTGTTGGGAAAAAACCCATCTTGTTCAGTAATGCCTTTTAGGGAAGAAAACTGCCATCCTTATATGGTCTGGACTACTTGTGACTTGAGACCCACAGCGATGTGGTTGACTCTTAATTGTCCTCTGGGCAATAAATAATGACCTAGCCAGTGACACTCATCTTGTGAGTGAATTAGCTTACCAGGTAGGGGAAATGTTCTGTATTTGGGAGGATTTCTCCGTTGATCTTAATGGAGGGATGGACTGGAAATTGACCCAGAAGGTACTAAGCGAGGCTTAAAGATTCTCCTGTGAAAGAATTCTTCTTGGATTTCAACTGATTGAAGTTGAAAAGTTTTCCATCCATTCTGTATACAATATCCACATCACTGGGAAATTTGTTCTTGACAAGGTGAATAACGGTGGCAATGAGAATGAAGAAAAGGTTGGGGATGATGACACATCCTTGCTTGACCCTTATCTTGACGTCAAAGCATTCTGTTATATTACAGAACTTTAAACAATGCTGTCACCAAAATCTCCAAAGAGTTCATTTGAATGGAGTGGGGAAAATCTGGAAACAGCTGAAAACAGCTGAAAACTGCCATCGTATACTGAAGAAACCACTGACTACTGACCAGGAAATACCAAGACTGGTTTGATGAGAACGACCACATCATCCGAGACCTCATTAAAACAAGGAAGCAAGCTCTCTGAGCCTGGCAAAATGACTTCAGGTGAAGCAAAGAGGAAACACGCGTCAAACAGCAAATGGAAAGTTCCCTAGAACTACTAGGAAAAGAA